TCTGAGCGACGCGTGATGCATTCATGTATGGCATGAAGGATGACCACAAGTTGGCCAAAAAACTGAAGATAACGAATCGAAAGAAATCCTATGTATTAGTCCTAAGGTTCTGATGTTCTGATATAGCCAAAAAAAAAATATTTTTGCCCAATGAATGTACCATTTGTATGATCCGTCCATAGAGGAAAATCCAAGGGACGAGCTTTTTTTTAATGTTCTCTTTCTTCCGTATAGTTGACTTAAGCTGTTTTTGATTGGGAATGTAAAGTTGACCAGAATGAAGCGTCTTGTCCTTTATCCTGATCTTCTCAAGAAAATTTTCACCTCCAACTCTTCAAACGGGGAATGAAGTTCTCCAATGGTATTTACAATCGAATCCCCTACCTTTAGCAATTTGTGCACTTAAACTGTTTTCTGTGATGTCAAATTAGATGACATGACATTAATGACATGTGGTCGCTCATAAGTTGTCGCTTACCTCATGCATACCAACTGACCTCGATTGTACTTGAGCAAGGGTTAGTAGGCTCTCTGATGCACCTAGGGGACCGGCGGACCCGTTATGCGATTGGATGAACCGGCGGGCTTGAAGTCAACAATGTCGGATTGAGCTCAAATTTGGTCGGCTGAAGCGAAATGGCGTGCTGATCAATACTCATAGCCTTTGGCTATGACTAACGATGGATTTTCACGATTCGGGATCGTTTAGATGGTTTTTTTTCAATTATTTTAGTAATTTTCGAATTAAGGGTATTTTTGTATTTTTTGCGCTTTTTTTTGTCATTAGGGTTAACACCTTTTATAAACTCGTTTTTAGGGTTTTGAGAGGCAGTAGTTTTGGATGTTTTGAAAACTTATCGATTGTTAATCGATTGAGAGAACAGTTTGTTCCTCGTTATCGTTTCGATTCTTCTGTTTAGCCTAATTTCTATCGCGCTTCGGCATCAATTGGTATCAGAGCACAGGTTGCTTGAATCAATGGCTGAACAGAATCGCAGTCGTGGACGGCGGGCTCGTGGTGGCCGGGGGCGTGGAGGCGTTCCTGAAGTAGACGACCAACCGCGTCTAAGAGATCTGCAAGACGTAGAAATTGAAGAACAGAGAAGAGGAATCCAGGATTTGGAGCGACAACTTGTGGAGGCGAGGTTGGGCGTTCAATCCGAAGAAGGAGCGGAATCTGAGGATTCATCCGATGATGAAGAGGAGGACGTAAACCCTTTCGGGGTTCTAAACCAGGGGCGGAATCGAGGAGTACGACCTGGAAATCAGCGTTCTTCACAAAATTTCGGAATGAAGATCGAGATTCCCAAGTTTAATGGTAAGGCTCATCATGATGAGTTTATTGATTGGTTGCATACGGTAGAACGGATTTTTGATCTTAAAGACCTAATTGAGGGGCAAAAAGTGAAGTTAGTGGCTATCAGGCTGCGAAAACATGCTTCGATTTGGTGGGAACACGTTAAAAAGCAACGCGCTAGAGAGGGCAAGCCGAAGGTGGATCCCTGGGAGAAGATGAAAAAGTTATTGCAGAAAAAATTTTCGCCTACCCATTATAGGCAAGAGGCGTTTATCGAGTATCATAATGTCAAGCAAGGTGATAAAACAGTTGAGGAATTTACAGAAGAATTTGATCGCTTGCGGATGCGTTGTGATGTGGCGGAGGAAGACGAGCAGACGATTGCACGATATCTGGCAGGGCTGCGATATGAGATCTCTGATGTTGTCCAATTACAGCAGTATTGGACATATGAGGATGTGTGCAGACTAGCCCTAAAGGTGGAGGGGCAGTTTAAAAGAAAGAGCAGTAATTCTAAGTGGTCAGGCAGCAGTTCCAAGTGGTCAGATAAAGAATCCCAAGGAAAAGCGGGAACATCTGCAGTAAATTCGACACCGGTCACAGTTAAGGATGTGAGTTCTAAACCTGCATCCAACGAGGGGCAGAGTAGTGCTGGAACTAGCAGGGGAGGAACTGCAGCCAAGCGGTGTTTCAAGTGTTAGGGATTCGGGCATTTTGCTGCTGATTGTCCGAACCGACAGATTGTGATGCTTGTTGATAATCCAGTTTTTTTATGAAGGCCCAGTTTATGATGAATCTGAAGGCGAAGAAGAGGATGCGGATGCAGAACAGGAAGAGATTATCTATGCTGATTCTGGTGAGTCCCTAGTCGTTAGAAGAATATTAAATGTTGCTGTAGCGGATGATGAATCATGGCTTAGACATAATATTTTTCATACTAAGTGCACTAGTAGAGGAAAAGTATGCAGCATGATAATAGATGGTGGGAGTTGCGAGAATGTGGTGTCCACGACTATGGTGGAAAAGTTAGGGTTAAAAACAGAATATCATCCTCAACCATACAAGATGTCGTGGCTTAGAAAAGGGAACGAGGTGAAGGTGAGCAAAATGTGTCTTGTGCAATTTTCGATTGGAAAAAATTACATCGATGAGGTGTGGTGTGATGTAGTCCCAATGGATGCTTGCCATATTTTATTGGGGAGGCCGTGGCAGTTTGACAGAAAGACACAGCATGATGGTTTCAGAAATACTTATACCTTCAAGAAGGATGGCCAAACCACTACCCTAGGTCCTTCAGATTTGAGAAAAGAAGGGAAAAGTAATCTGCTTTCCAAATCAAAATTTCAAGAAGAGGCAGTGAACGCGCCTGAGCTTTTGGTCGGCTGAAGCGAAACGGCATGCTGATCAATACACATAGCCTTTGGCTATGACTAACGATGGATTTTCACGATTCGGGGTCGTTTAGATGGTTTTTTTTAATTATTTTAGTAATTTTCGAATTAAGGGTATTTTTGTATTTTTTGCACTTTTTTTTGTCATTAGGGTTAACTCCCTTTATAAACTCGTTTTTAGGGTTTTGAGAGGCAGTAGTTTTGGATGTTTTGAAAACTTATCGATTGTTAATCGATTGAGAGAACAGTTTGTTCCTCGTTATCGTTTCAATTCTTCTGTTTAGCCTAATTTCTATCGCGCTTCGGCATCACTCTCGGGTCATGCCCGGATCATATGAGCGGGAGCGCCGCCACGACGAAGGTCAATGGCCCTCACCTGTCTTCATATCATTCTTATCAATAAAGCAAACTAATGTTCTCGAGGTTAGACCTTCTGACTAGTTAATCATGTAAAATGTTCTTTTTATATGCTTGGTCAACCCAAGCCATTCATTTCGGCTCAAAAGCCTAACCATCGTCAACCATTTTCAAGGCCGGACCGGACCAGACGAGTTTAACTATGGATTGAACCAGCACTCCCTGTACACACATGGGAAAATGCAAATGAAAATGCACAGCGAATCAAATGCCATAGAGTCCAGGCTCTTCTCATGGGTTCCTGAGAAGTAGTACTGTGATGGCGAAGAGAACTGATCACAGATGCTTACCGAAAGAAAAACCTTATCAAGATTACCTACCCAAGACAGAATCCTCAACTTTCCGTTTGATTCTATTCGGAGAGTATGAAGATTCAAAGCAAGTCAGAATAATTCTCAAGCTGAATGAAATCAACAAGAGGCTGGCCATCTGGGAATTCCATTTTACTTTGAACACCAATGACATGAACAGCCGAGCGCATCTAACGAGTCGCTACCATTTTGCATGTGAAGATCACGAGCAATTGGAACTAGACACGACAAGCTTCACCACTGAAACCACTCGCTTCCCATAAAGAAATCAAAAGCGGAACTCCAAGACCCAGATGACATTACTCGAATTTACAGACGCATTTCGCTCACAATCCCTTCAACCGCGGAAGCCGTACAGGGTCCGGCCCTGACTCTTGAGGGCCTAGACGACGTCCATGGCAGGGACGGTCTTGCAGCGGGCGTGCTCAGTGTAGGTGATGGCGTCGCGGATGACGTTGTTCTCGAGGAAGATCCCTGAGGGGACCCCGCGGGTCTGCGCGTAGATGAGGCCGCTGATGCACTTCACGCCGCTGCGGCGGGCCAGGCGCCGGCTGGCGGGCTTGGTGATGCCCGAGAACAGCGATCCGTGCGTTTGTGTTTGGTTGGTTGACATCGCTCGATCGAGGAAAGAGTGGTACTCTCTTAATTATTTAATGAATAATTATTTTATTGAAGGAAGTAAAGGACATCTCAGTGGCTGTAGTTTAGTGGTAAGAATTCCACGTTGTGGCCGTGGAGACCTGGGCTCGAATCCCAGCAGCCACATTATAATTTTTTTGTGAAATTTGGGGATTAGGGTTTAGTTTAATCGGAATATGTAGCTTTTTTTTTGTCAATTTGGAATGCATGTGAGGTGTAAATGTGCTCAAATCAGATAGTTTGTGACAAAAATTGCCCTCGTGTATAGCACGATGTACGGTATGTGACACGCTCGTGTTAGTCGTTTGGCAAAAGTTTATGCCGTTGGTGGGATTGGAAGGGGTCAAATGAGACGAAATCACCACATTCAGGAGTGCTTTGATATAAACTCCACTTTAGGTGGAATTTTGAGAAAAAATGCCTTACTTCAGAGGAGTTTTTGAAATCTTCCCAAATTTCAATTACTGGAGCAATTTTAAACGTTTCGAGGCAAATGCCCCCAATTGGCCTGAAATCGAACGTGCAAGAGATGTATATGCATCACGATTAGCGATAGACACATTCATCAATTATAGAGAATTGGTCCTAAGTAAGACCTAATAAAACTGCTTCGTCTGAGGTCCCGGCATCCTTCGAATGTAAAACACACAGAGAGTAGAGCCGAGTACTGGGCTTGAGAAACATACAGCCAACTATGGGAGATTGGGCGTGCCAGCATCGGCTCTTTAAAATAATGAACGCAGTTCTGACAGCCTGCCATATGTATACACCTGGATAGGCGGGGCGACCTCCGGTCAAAAGCTTAGGCTTTCCTTACTTTCGTGAGGTACCCTCATGAACAACCAGAATTATGCGAGACAAGCTCAAGTAAAAGGGGTGCTTTGATAAAATGCCCTCAGTTCAGGGAGCTAATTGCAATTTTCCCCTTCTTTCAATCGACGCTGTCGTTTTCGTCCGCCGAAAACGACAGCGTCGTTGGTTTCTCGATTGACTCCGAGTACGAGACCACCTCCTTCCCCTTTCGCTCTCTGGCTTCGCGGCGACGACGGTCGGACTTCCCTCGAAGGCTCGCGGCGGCTTCCGATTTCGGCGCATCTTGGAGTTCTTGGAGCGGGAGGACGCCGTAGGGTTTGGCTCGGGCACAGTCGCAGCGGTACGTCTCTTTCGATTTCGCATTCGTCGTCGATCTTACCTCGTTCTTCGTCTCCGCTACCGTGTCCGAGCCTTGGGTTTCGGGATCTATGGATCGACTTGGCCGTGCATGGTAGTTTTTGGCTCTGCCTGGTGTGAACCAACTTGGGTCGTCGCCAGAATTGACGAGCGAATGAATGGGCCGTGAATTTTCCTGATCTCTGTGCGGATGAACTGTCTTTGATCGAAACTGGTTCGTGTGAGTAAGGCGAATGGGATGCCATTAATGCCCCCGAAAGAAAGATAGGAAGATCGCGTGGATTGCGTAGTGCAGTGTCGTGTGAATCATATATGTTTGTGTCCGGAGTAGACTGGATATGGTGGCCTTGCTGGCATGCTTTGGGGTTTTTTCGTAGGTTGTGTCGGACCAATACATGTTTAGGGATTCCCATGTTTGAGCATTTGCCTTTTGTATGGATTCGAACTTAAATGTTTCGAAAACAATTCTTGGATGAGGTATTCAACTCTATGGCCGAAAAAGAAGAAGAAAGATTGAGGTATTCTACTCAATGAAGGAATTAGAAAAGAAATTTGATTGGGTTTACCTCCTCTTCTTTCTGAAGTGATTGGATCTTTTCATTTAAGTGTTGGCTAAATAAGTAGTTTTCGGTTAGTCTATAGCCCATGAGCTGTCCTATTTTAATTTTTCGCTGCTTTCTTTGGGTTTGTGCTTGATACTGTAGTAGCAAAACCTGTGATGAATGGCCTTTGCCCATCGTGTTTCCCACAATCGATTTCGGACTGTGACTGTTGTAGTTCGACTTTTACAGTACTTTTCTGAGATATCTTCTACTTGGATTTCTATTGAAAATTTTAAGCAGCCAATATCTATGACTGCGGTAGCTTATCATCCACTGCATGACAGTTCATCCTGTGGTCCGGAAAACATGAATGACCTCTTTATGGTTAAAGCTGGAGGGTTGCTTCTGACAGAGTGACTGACAAATGATAGAAAATGGTTGCTTATGTATTGTGAATTGGAAGGCCAATTTTTTCGAGTTCTGACTAGGTGGACTGTATGATTCCTTACTAAGTTTGATCAAGTCCTAGATCGGCCTAAAAAGGAGCCCTAACTCACTATATGGTGGAAACTTGTAACACAATCTAGTATTGAGTCAAATTGCTAATTAGATCATATATTTGGTCATTATGATATGTGATTTTAACTCAATCCAGTATTATGACTGAATTGCTCGATGCTGTTCTCCTTCTCACACCTTTGAGTCAAAGCCTTTTGTATATGCATTGTAGGATCCCTAACAATTTGAATCAGGAATGGTAGTATTGTAACGACACCAAATAGAACCACCGCTATATATTGGAGGATTTCTAATTTATCTACTTGTGCATACGCTGGTAAATTCTCGACTGTACTCAGGTGCGATGAACAATAAAGGAACTGCTTTTTATGATTTGAGTATGCCGGAATTGAGAGCTCCTTTTTTCTTGCTTGCTTTATATGTTGTGGTGGATTGGATAGTTGGTATAGATGAAATTGTAAAATTGAAATTGGGCAGAAGGACAAGAAGCAAAAACTAGGTCGTAGAGAGACAGTTACTATTTCTTTTGCATTGTTTGGTGTTTGAATTCTAAAAATAATGTATTACATTAATATCCTCAAGGATTTTTCTGTAGTTTCCATTTGAGTGTGAATTACCTATACTATATTTGTGTAGGATTGATGCATTATTGGATCTACGGAAGCCCTTCTATTATCTGAATCTCAAACTGAAAAGTGCTTGCTCTTTTTTTTTGTGATGTGTTGAAACATTGGGACATGCGTTCATAAGGTTGAACGCTAGCCAAACAATACTGTGTTGCTTTAATCTATTACATTGACACCTTTGTTGTTTTCTCCCTCTGTTTTGATACAGATGATTGATGATCGAGACCTGGGTTTCCTGGCCAACTTTCTTGGCATTTTCATCTTTGCATTGGTGATAGCGTACCATTATGTGACGGCTGACCCAAAGTATGAAGGGAATTAGGGATATGTTTCCTCCTTTTTTTCTGGGTTATAGTTAAGAAACTGTAGATCGAATGTCATTTCGCTAGTGGACAGTACATTGATGTAGTGAATGGTTGGATCTGAGACAAGAATGTTGTAAACGTATTAATAAAGATTGCTGTTACTTGACAAATGCATACTGGAAGCTTTTGTATCTCTTCTCCTTAGATTGACACAGATGAGTGTGATCCTTTTACCTATCAGGCTTGGCCTCTGGAATGGGTTAGGTCACAAGGTTTTTGACTGGTTTTCCAGTAAATGATGTCAACAGCGTTCTGTTTCCCTATGATTTTGAGCGTAATATCCATGAGGATTTTTTCAGTCGGTCACGGATTTCATGCTTTAATATTTCTAAAGTGAAATCATGAATGCCTTTTTATTTTCAAAGTCCAGTTCTCTGTCGTTGAGTTCTGGACTTTTGAAGTCACTGTAGTAGTCATGAGTGGTACATGATTACACTTTTAGTTAGAGGATGATTAACATTTGCAGATCAACATTCGGGGATGTTCACGAGACATGTAGGATTCTCCCTCTGAAGAAGCTCCTTTACCATTTCCTCCATGATCATTGTTTCTCTCATCAACCTACTTAGGCAAAAGCCCAGGCCCCCAATGCATAAAACTATTTGGCTCTTGAGCTCCTCCAAACCTTCTTGAGCTTGAATTCTTGTTGCCACTTCATTCGATCGGCAAAGAAATGAACTCGTAACCTTTGCAACATCTCCGTCATCTGTACCCGAAAATATAGTCGGGTTTCCACTTTGCGACTTCCCTAATTCTATGTCACAAAACATTTTCGTCTTCTGCAATTCTGTATCAATTGCAGAAACGGGCTTGAGTGAAGTGACTGCTCCAAGGAATTGGATCGAAGTGCCTATCATTTTCTTGAAAAGCTCCAGATCCTGTTCCAATGGCTCTTGAATCTCCTTCCAAGCAACACCGATGCCCAGAGATAATCGTTGGACAGACTCCAGTTGGAAGCTGGTAAATTGTATGAGGTCCACCATTTTCGACAAGCATTCCAGAATCTTGAGATAGCAATCCCCTGGAAAGGGGAGGAACCAGAAGTTAGGCTCTGACACGGCCTCTTGTGTCAGAACTCCATACATGGAGGTGCGGGTTCTTAGATCCTTTAGCTTTTCCTGAAAGGTATGGAATTTTGAGTCTGGCCATTGTTTCTCTTCCAAGCAAAGAACTATACCCTCAATGCATTCGCCAAGTTTTCTCAAGCTCGTGGAGAGTTCAACCTTAGCAAGGGTTGAAGCTCTTGCAGGTTCACAAAGTAGTTCTACTATGATGTAGCAGATCAGTCCAATGGATGCCTCTGCGATTCTGGCGATTGCGAACTGCGTTGGGGGTCCATAATCTCTCCGACCCAGGATCAGCAACGCACCTATGACTGCTGAAATGCCACCCGCTTGGCCATACATTCTGCTGTGTCTGAGGAAGCTTGTGAAAATGATCCATGGAAGAAGAGGTAAGAATCTCAGGTGTACAGATTTTCCGCAAATGAAGTAGCCCAGTAATCCATACACTGATCCCATGGCCGTGCCCTGCGCTCGCGCATTCGCGACAGTGAAGGTTGGTTGCCTTCCTGTCACAAAACTGATTGCAATGGTGAGTCCTGACCAGTACCCATTTTCCTTGTTATATATCAGACCGAATAGCACGGCGAGACCCAGAGAAAGTGAGCACTTCAATGCAAAAATCAAACTTTGGCAGCTCGGTTTTATATTTAGCCTTGTCCTCCTCCCTCCGCAGGAATACTTAGCTTGATTTTTTTCTCCAGACTGTTGAGCGACAGAATCCTGGCTCTTGAAATCGACAGTTTTTAGAATCTGTCCGAAAATCACGTCATGTTGGAGGATTTGGACACAGTGAAGGAAGAAAAGTGCTGGTAGGCCTTCCTGGGATGTGGGGATAGTGGTAAAGGGCCGGAGGGCTTTTTCAATGTCGTCTCCCTCGGTCTCAGGAGCTGTTGTAGCATCACAAGGTGCGAAACATCTAGCTTGCTCGAGTTTTTGCCTCAGGTGCAGTTTAATTTTGGGTGAAGCCTTTTGAAGTTCTTGGTCTGCCATGCCAATAGGAAAAGAGGAGCAAGAATTGAGGGCCATTTCCATTCCTCTCAACGGCAGCTCTATTTCTTGCAATCTTTCTCCTAAGTTGACATAGTTTGGTTTTAGGAATCTTATTCCCGGTCTCTCCCATGACACACCTCTCTGTTCAGCACCAAGTAGCGTTAGCTAAAAAAACTAGTGAAAGAACTTCAGATGTAAAATGAAAGGATGGGGATGGTGAAGCTTAAAAGCTATAGCGACTTTATGACGAAAAATCAGTATGTAATATTAAAACTATATCTGTAGCCCAAGACGAGTTTGTTTTTATTTTCATTGATTTTACTGTCCTTTTGTTTTGTAAAATTCTCTACTCAAGTTTTGAAAACTCGGAAGAAAGAAGTTGCAGTTTTTCTGAAACTTGAAGGTGAATGGCTGTTCAAGGGTACATCGAGAGTTATCCTTCTTGATTACCTCGTGTTCTTTAATACTTTGAAGGAGCTTCTTTGCTACTTTGGAAAAGCATGCTGCTTGGGAAATCAAGTCTACTGCAGCCGGGCGTCCCTTGGCAAAGAAACCATCTAAATAGAGATTCAGCCTCTCCGATGCATTCTCGGCGTACAATCGGCACATTTTCCTGATCTGCAAGAGGTAACGACTATTGTCAATTTTAATCTGATGCAGCATAACTCTTTACTACATCAAGTACGAGGTCGATGCTGTCATGCTTGCTTCGGGCTTAAGTTGTAGCACATCTCTTCACAAATCTAGCACGGCCTTTGTTTATCATCTTTAATTGTTCTTGTCCCAGCTAACTCAATACCCATCTAATTTAGGCACTGGATGTTCTAGTTTTCATTGTAGGACAGCAGTTTTTTATGAGGAAACGATAGGGTACTGAGCACTAGTTTCTCGTGACTTTTCATAAAGCTTGCTCAGTGACAATCGACACTATATTGTGTGATGTCTCCTTTTGTTTACTTTTTACACTCAAAGGACTGACTTGACAATATCTGCATCCGTTTCGCTTAACTTTTCCAGACATGGAGAATTGCTAGTTGGATCGTATCGGCTCAAATGGGCCTAATCAGGGGGTTCTAGTATTCAGATTCCCAAGCATAAAGTGCTAGCATTATATTCCATTAAAATCGGAATATGGATCAAGGAATTAAGGTATATAAAGAGAATATGAATATAATCTCCTAAGAAAAGAACTAGCTTGCTTAAGTTACAATTAGTCGTGGATTCGTTCCAAGAAAAGAACTTCTGTCAAAAGGTTCTATATGCTTTCTGAATTGTTCTTCGACAAAGTGGGACTTCTCCTGCTAGGCTGAAAATGTTTAAGCCTTTGTTCTCTTATTCTGATTTTGGCCTAATTCATTTTGTATGAAAAGCGCGTCCAATCATCTTGTGATTCAGAGCACTATCAACTTCAAAAGCTGCATAACATCGTTTTTTTTTTACTAGTCCTTTTCACTTCTCCTTTTCCTAATAACATAAATTAGCACAAACAGCTTGGTTTGTGGAGAGACTCTTACGATTGTACCGATACACGATCAATTGATTCTTCATATACTGAGTAACTCACCACCTCAATTAAAAGACTCAACAGCACCCCAGTAGATTAAACTTGCATATAATCTTTCAACCAGAAACAAATCAGTTAAAATCCACCTTCTGATCATTTTTTGGTTTCATGTGGAATGCTGCTATAATGTGTTTAGATGTATGTTCTCATCCTAAACTGTTTCACTTATCATTTCATGTTATAACTCCATAGTAACACTGAAGCCTGTCCCTGATCTTGGGACTGTTGGACTCAAACTGAGAAATCCAAGATCATGGGAGTTAACTCTCAAGGGATGAGCATTTACCTCACTGCACGCAAGCCAAGGGTATGGGAACAACAGAGCCAGCACTGAAGCCAGGGCGCCAAGTGCGGTACTCGATGCCACGTGAACTGGGTGCATCACGACTCCCGTATTTGTTCCCCCTATGGCGGCTCCCACATAGATGATGACCATCTGCCCAAAAGCAATCCTTTTGGACATCAAATTAGTCGACTCGGGCAGTGCGACCAGAAAAGCACCTAGAGACACCGCCGCAGCAGCCAGGCCAGGAGTAGCGAACCGGGCAGGCCCGATCAGCCACAAGCTCAACACCGAGAAAAACATGACCTGAGTAGTCGCATAGAACGCGTTCCATACTCCTCTCAGAGCGTCACCGACCGTTGCATCCGACACGATCAGAATGGTCGTCACGTATGAGAAGGCCGGGTATGCTAAGAACTTCTGAACATGGGTCGGAGCGAAGAGGGTGGTGAACCCGACAATGGAGCAAGCCAGGGCCGTGTGCACTGCTGACTTCAAGCGCGCATGCCGCACTGCGTAGGCTTGCTCAGCTATTCTTGAGGTGGCCATTTTGAGGAGATAGTGTTAATTTGCAAGTGTTAATGAGCTTTTGTGTGGACAAAAAGCGTGCAAATTTTTTTAGTGTAAGGAGGATGTGGGGCGAGAGCGAGAGAGAGAGAGAGAGAGAGAGAGAGAGAGAGGCTTTGGCAAGTTTGTCTGTTGCAACACAAGCCTGCTTTAAGGAGCTCTTGCTGGGTGCCTTAGTATAAGCAATGCCTGAAGAATCTTGGGTAGTGATTGCAAGGTGTAATAATTCACTTCATGCTCTCTTACAACTTTGGAGCGGTTCAAGCTCTATAGCAGATATCTTGCCTGAGCCTTTTGGTTTTCCTTTTTTTTTTTCGGCCGAGCGTAAGCCTTTTTGTTGACCGGTTGTTTGTTAGTAAACTCAACCAGTCCATGCTTATTACCCAGATACATACATACATACATACATACATATATTTGGCATGTGTGCCTCATTTTGTGAATTGTAGATAGTTGTCTTTTCAATAAGTGAAAAATGGTGGGGATGGATGAAGAATCTAGTTACCCTTTTGGACTTTGCCCTGAGGATATTGCGTCCGTTATAAAATGTTCGATTTGAATCATTGCTACTCAATTCACTCTCAGGTATACAGATCCATTATTGTAGCCCTACCAATATGCCAGAAGTTTGAAAGACTATTT